AGTTGGAGACCAGCCTGGGCAAGATATCAAGACCCTGTCTCTACCCTATGTATGTATATAGAAGTCCGATATTCATTTTAAGTTCTCCAACAATCGCTTAAAGTAAAATGTGCCCACCCTGAGGGTCAGACCTACCTGCCGACTTGCAATCTGTGTTTGGGAGACATTCTCAACAGCATTTGCTTTCCCTAGCCAAGTGGTTTTTGTGTTTTCCTCACACCTGAATGTCTTCAGTGTAAAACTTGTCAGAAACCATTTTCTTTGCTAAAAATTTCAAAATACTCTGCCTTCAAGTAAGTGCATTAAAATGAATTTCTCAGCCGGGCATGGTGGCTCATGCCTGTAATCCCAGCACTTTGGGAGGGCAAGCTGGGCAGATCACCTGAGGTCCGGAGTTGGACAACAGACTGACCAACATGAAGAAACCCCATCTGTAAAAAAAAAAAAAAAAAAAAATTAGCCATGTATGGTGGCCCATGCCTGTAGCCTGAGCTACTCGGGAGGCTGAGGCAAGAGAATCACTTGAGCCCAGGAGGCAGAGGTTGCAGTGAGCTGAAATCGCACCATTGCACTCCAGCCTCCATCTCAAAAAAGAAAATATAAATTTCTTTCCCAGTTGCATCCCTGGAATCCATGGAAAATCCAGGAGAGACAATGAAGTGCTACAGAAGCGAGCACCAATCAGGGGAGGACCACGCATGGCTTCCTCACTAGGAGTCAGGGCAGTTACCTGCTTTGGTCTCCAGTGCAGACAGAAATTCGGTTCACCTGCGACAGGAGGACTAGGCCCAGAGGAGGCGGACTTCCTTTTCAGGAGACTTCAGATAGGAAATCTCCTAGGATTTCTTTCTTTCTCTTTGATCTACTTCCAACTCTTCTCCCTAAGACCTTTTTCGGATCCCTCCTGCCCAGGACCTAAGGGGGTAGTGCCCTTCCCTACAGGTCCCTTCCTGCCTGGGTGTTTTCCGAGCCCAAGATCGCCCTGAAAGTTACTGCCCACCAGAGACAGCGAGAGGACCAAGGAGGACGGCGGATGCGGTGGGAACCACAGAGTGACCGCACACCTGCGTCTCCTGGGCCCTTCGCAAATTGAAGCTTCCCCCTGAAGCTTCTCTTCAAGTCACAGGGAAAGGAAGGGTGGCTGCTGACCCAGCAGGAGAAGCCCCTAGGGAGGACCTGGCCCTACCCCCTGGGCCCTGAAGACAGGCCTTGCCAAGGCTGATTTTGATTGGGAGCCCCAAAGAAAAGGCTCAAGGGCAGCCCAAACTCCAACCCCAAGATTTTTAAGGCTTTCAAATGTCTGATCTTTTCCAGGTTGGTCAGTAGAATCTATCCCGCCTTTATCAGGAGACTCCTTTGCCAAAATTCAAAGACCTGGGATTCTTGCTGCTTGCGGCAAAGAAAGCCAATCACTGATGTGACTATTCCCAAAGAATGGGTTTTAATACAGTGCTGCAGCGGGGGGAGATGAGAACTCAGTCTCAAATCCATCTCCCTGACCAACCAACACCAGATGTTTAGATCACAGGGAAGAAATGTAACAATGTATAAGAAAACAAGAACTAGGGAGGGCAAAGAAGCAATCATATTGAATGAGGGGTCCAGCATCTCACTGTCTGGATGACTTTCAGTTCTTTGATAGCTTGAGAGGCCTGAAGGAACGCAAATAAAACAAACATTAAGTTTCAAACTTTAAGAACTGAAGCTTTCTATGTTTACCAAAAAATCTACATTTTCTTGGTTTCAGACCAAGAAAGAGAAAGATTGTACAGTCTGCAGTTACCTAAATAGGAAACCAAATAATTTTCTGAACAACAGGATGTATGGGGTCAAAGAACGACCACCCTACAGAACTGTGTTTTGGCCTGAGCATAGGGAATGATAAAGCTGCATCAGCTAAATGGGATTAAGCTGCACGTGTGGGCTGGATGTGGTGGCTCACACCTGTAATCCCAGCACTTTGGGAGGCTGTGGGTGGATCACTTGAGATCAGGAGTTTGAGACAAGCCTGACCAACATGGTGAAACCCTGTCTCTAATAAAAACACAAAAATTAGCAAGACGTCATGGTGGGCATCTGTAATCCCAGCTACAAGGGCGGCTGAAGCAGGACTATTGCTTGAACCTGGGAAATGGAGGTTGTAATGAGCGGAAATTGTGCCACGGCACTCCAGCCTGGGCAACAGACCGAGATACCTTCTCAAACAAAAACAAAAGGCTGCAGGTTAAAAAAAAAAAAACAAAAACGGGATTTTGGTTCAGAGTCCCTGGACCCTCCTCGAGAGTTTCCTCTTTCCTTGAAAAAGGAAGCTTGTCTCAGTTTCCGCTTCTCTCTGAGTCCTTCTGGAGATTGACGATAGTCAGGTCTCAGTGCTTGGCCCCCCTCTGACTTTGGAGACCTCCCCTCCCGTGGGTCAACCTGGTCCAGTGCACAGGCCCCAGCTCTGGCGACCATCTCGCCCCACTTTGCTCCCAGCGAAGGCCGTTTCTAGGTCAGTTGGGCGGTGCACCCAGGACAGGGCAAGGTGCAGCCAGGACAGTTGCCTGGTGCAGCCAGGACGGGGCAACTCGCTCCGCGATTTTTGGCTCTGGATGCCGCGAGCGCTGTGGTCCTGCGGAGCGCTGTCTCCCTCTTGTGGAGAAAGTGTGGAGGGCAGCGAGGGCTGCACCTGCACCTGCTGTGGCAGCGACAGTTCCGGGATCTCAAGGCAAAAGACATTTGTCATCTGACAGGCTGGACTCAGTTATTATAATTTTAAATTTTTCAATAAAAACCGAATGGAAATTTGTTTTCTTACTTGTAGAAATCTCCTCACAAGAACCCCCTTCTTATATTCCAGGGCAAATAGGGTATTCCACGAAGACATAGTGTAGACTGCGGTTCTGATCTGCAGGCCTCCATGCCCTGCGCAGGAGCACCAGGGCACGGTCAGAGTCCTTCCCCTACACAAAGCAAGGGTGTTATGTCTACAACGAAACGAGGACCCTCACAGCCCCCAAAATGCACTGTTTTTATTCCAAAGAAAACCACCAGTTCTGAATACAACTTCCACCTAGCTCTAGTAGCTGAGTACACGTGTCCCTAGCACAGAAATCTACAAATTCCCGTGAATACTGTGGTGAAAAGCAGGAGCTACCCAGGCGCGATGGATCACACGTGTAATCCTAGCACTTCAGGAGGCTGGGCGGATCACTTGAGCCCAAGAGTTGGAGACCAGCCTGAGAACATGCTGAAAGCTCCATGAAAAAAGGAAAAAAAAAAAAAAAAGAGAGAAAGAAAGAAAAGGAGGCTGTGCGTAGTGGCTTACGTCTGTAATCCCAGCACTTTGGGAGGCCGAAGCCGGCGGATCATGAACTCAGGAGATCTAGACCATCTGGCTAATGTGGTGAAACCAGTCTCTATTAAATATACAAAAAATTCGCTGGGTGTGCTGGCATGCGCCTGTAGTCCCAGCTACTTGGAGGCTGAGACAGGAGAATCCCTTGTACTTGGCAGGTGGCGGTTGCAGTGAGCCCAGCGAGATAGCGCCACTGCACTCCAGCCTGGGCGAAAACGAGACGCCATCTCAAAAAATGAAAAGAGAAAAAGAAGAGAGAGAGGAGAAGGGGAGGCGCGAGGGGAGGGTAGGGGAGGGGGGCGGAGGGAGGGAGAAAAACACAAAAAGTACAAATTAGCCCAGCCGGGTGTGGTGGCGGGTGCTTGTCCTACTCAGGAGGCCTGAGATAGGAAGATTACCGGAGCAGAGATGTGCCACTGCTCCAGCAGAGGCTATCTAAGACCTAACTTCTGGGGATGGTGGGAAAACACTAAAGTTTTTAAGAACTGTTAAAAGCCCTCGGCGGCTCACGCCTATAATCCCAGCACTTTGGGAGGTCGGTGCATATGCACCCCAGAACTTGAGGTAAAATAAAGAAAAGAAAAGGAAGACAGCAACCCAGGGTGATGTGGTTTGTTCCCAGTAATTTGAAATATTTAAAGAATGGTTAAATGATCACTTGACAGTTATACTCTAAACAGAAATAAGATTCACAGAGTTAAACATCATTACTTTGAGAAGATAAATTTTAATGTCATTTTCAATCTTGAAAATCTTTGGTTTTATTTTGAAAAAAAATCGTCAATTTTAAAAAGATCACTGCAAAACAAAGGTATTATAGTCCATTTGCCTTTTCAAATAATAAACTTGGAAATATGTTCTTATGAATGTCAACAGTCAACAGTCAATGTAGTGTGGCATATTAAGAACTGACTTCCATATAATAGGTAAGTTTAGAGAGATTACATTTCATGAGAAAATGTTTTATGAATTTTAATGGGGTATGTTTATTTAAATCTAATTTTCAATTCTGTTTGGGAAATAGTTGTCTGTTTCTTTTAGTGTATTCTCCTTCCTGTCCACATATGTGGAAGCTACCTATTCTCCTCTCTTTTGAAATAGTTTAAAAGACTCAAAGAGAATGCCCTGGGCTTTGCATGTCCTTAGTCTGATAGACATTTCCCTGGCTGCTCACATGAATAGATACTAGCAGCTAACTAAGAAAACTGCATCTCTTGTCAGCCAGAAATGAACAAAGGCCTCAAAATCAGTGAATTCTCTGTTTTTCTGTGGCCTTATGTGCTGACAGTCTTATCTTAAGACAAAAAATATTAATAGTATAGATTAAAGGTAACTTTGGCAAAAATGAAAATGCAGGCAGGGAATTTTTTTCCAACAACAGAAACTAGGAAAAGCAAACATACAGTAAAAATTGAAAATTTCCAGTATAGAGATATAAATATAATAATTGACACTGCCAGGGATGATTAATGAATAAAATGTTTAGGGGGATGATCATTTGAACACAACGTATTAAAACTTTTAAAAATCATTTTCCCAATTACCTCACTATAAATAAGGTGTCTCTGAAAGGTACAGATATGGCATCACGATGATGGTGATAGACAAATGGTGGAACAGTCCTGGTATCACAATATTGGTGATAGACAAATGGCGGAACAGCCCTGGTACCACGATCCTGGTGATAGACAAATCGTGGAACACTCCTGGTACCACGATCATGGTGATAGACAAATGGTGGAACAGTCCTGGTATCAAGATAATGGTCATAAACAAATGGTGGAAGAGTCCGGGTATCACAATATTGGTGGTAGACAAATGGTGGAACAGTCCCAGTACCACGATCATGGTGGTAGACAAATGGTGGAACAGTCCCGGTATCATGATCATGGTGGTAGACAAATGGTGGAACAGTCCTGGTGCCACGATCATGGTCGTAGACAAATGGTGGAATAGTCCTGGTACCATGATCATGGTGGTAGACACATGGGACCATCTCTGCCTGCAGATGGGTGAGGTAGCATTGACCCTGCAGTGTTCCCGGAAAAACACTTAGGCTGAATTTAATCATGAGGACATTTTCAGACAACTTCAGAGTGTAGATCATTGAGCCAGACAGCTGACCTGTCCTCTACAAAGAAGCCCATGTCACCACCATCAATGACAACAAAAAGGTGAGGAGACACTTTGGGTTCAAAAGAACTAAAGCAATGTAGCTACATTATCGTTTGACTCTTTTTCGACCCAAAATGTCTCTTCTCCTTTTAGTTGTGTGATTTGTGGTGACATGGGCTGTCTGAAGGAGACAGGTCAGGCGTGCTGCTCACTACTCTACATTCTGAAGTTGTCTGGAGATTACCTCAGGCTATGAAACTCAGGCTAAGTGTTTCAGCAAGAACATGGTGTTGTCCATACTCTGCACCGGCAGAGTCCCAGGTGACATGTTGTCTTAGTGTGGGAATATGACCCCTATCCGGTAGACCAACTGGAGTTTTATCACTGTCATAGTAAGAAACCTACTGTCCATGTCCAAAGTCAGGCGAACATGCTCTTCCACAAGTAAAAAAATGGCATGTGTGTAAGCCTGGCATGTGTAGTAAAACTCAGGATAAGCTGTATACGTTGAATACAATTTATCCAGTGAGTACCGGAAGACTTCAGGCTCTTCTGCTTCCACCAGCTCCATGCTGAGCCTAGAAAAGGAGGAAAAACCAAAGAATAAGTCAGGGAAAATAAGACACGCAGAGCCCCAACTAGATTTCATGGGTAGCACAAGAAAGTGGTTAATAAAGAAAAAACATAGATCCATTAATGACGTAACAAATTATTACCCTATGTTGGGATGGGCAAGAGTAGGGTAGAAAGAATGAAAGAGAAAGAGAGAAAAAGACAAAGAAAGAGAGAGAGAGAAAGTAGCTCAGTGAACCTTCCAGGTGACACACTGATGAGGGAGTAAAAGGACACTCTGAGTTAGTGCCCTCAGGACACACAGCGTACACTGATCATAAAAACAAGAATGGTCAACCTACGGTAGTTAATACATGACAAGGGGAGGAAGAAATGGAAACCTAAATATCTACTGCAATGAAAACCAACAGCAGTGTTAGTAGGAATGTTCAGGCTTCGTTGAAAACACGGTATCGACATTGTCAGCCCACTCTGTTTTCCCTGGACCTGGCGTCTCCAGGTGTCAACACATAATTAGCTGTTCACAATAGTTCAGAGTTACCTGGGGCATGGTGGGCCTTGGTCTTCTTCCTCTTCTTGGTCATTTTTAATCTCTGCAATAAATTCAGACAGGGACAGACAAAATAAGCCAATTCCCCTACACCCATAACAGTCCACTGTCTAATCCCTGCACAGAGACCTCAGGCTCCCCAGCATGAGAACAGGATAATGTGAGAGATAGACTTCAGGAGGTCTCAAGGCCAATCATGATAGAGATTCCTGGGTTTGTGTCTCAGAACCAATGGTGAAATGTCCCTATTCTGGTAGACCATTATCCTTTTATCCCAAGTATGTACAGTTACACCAAGTTTGTACAAGCAGGGAAGAACCTCACAGACATGCTTGGGGAACAAAACTCATGAGGAACTTGGTAGCTGGCAAGAGACATTGAATTCAGATTGACAGACAACTCGTGGGCATGCGCTGCATAGCTTGGTGTGAGTGTACAACACCTGCCTTGGGTTTCAATGTCCTGACAGTCGGTCCAGGGTGCGACGGGCACGGCCTGAGACTAGAGAGAGAGCAAAGCTCACTGACACCCCATGTCTGTGCTTCAGACTGGAATCCAGAGTGATCGAAATATACACTGATGCACAGGTTCAGCCCACAGTGAGGACAACTCTCAGCCCAGCCAGGGGAGCAATGCCCAAAGACTATGGAGTCTATCTGGGACACAAAATGGAGCTTTATCACCTTCACAATGGAGTACTCACTGTCTATGTCACAAGCCAAGTCGACCTGCTGCTCCTCTAATAAGTGTAAGCTGCTCCTGTAAGGCTCACTGAAGGCAGATGTGCCAGGAGGAACTGAGAGAGTCGAATAACCTTCATCCCAGGACTCCTGGGGGGCTTCCTCCTCCACAGACTCCTGCAGATTCCTGATGAGCCAGGTAGGACAGAGTGACAGAAGATTAAACCAACAGAGATTAGACAACAAAGTCTCCCAGATGATCTGATGGAAGTCAGAAAGGAGTGGCCTCAGAAAGCAAAGGCATTTATCCTTCAAGAGAAAAAAAACTATCCTTCTAAATGCAGGGCGGACGGTGACTACCCTGGGGACAGGGCACAAATGAGCAGCAGGTGCTCAGTGCATTTGCACAGATGAGCCACTGCAGGCCACCCAGACTCCCTGTAAACTCTCATCACGAACTGCAGCAGGAGAACTACCACGGGGCTTCAACTACCTCTCATAAGTTGTGTTGAATTTTACATGCGGCATTCAAGTGAACAGAGCTCTTGAGGCATTTCAGACACCCAGATCTTGGGTATCAAGGGCCTCCCTTTTCCAGTATTTTGATATCATATGTATATTTTTTGAATTTCTTCTCTTCACAAATCCTAGCAAACATGAGAACAAGAAATATGCAGAAACAATATACACATCTGTCCCTGGATTTAAACACATGGGAGAGAACAGGTGAAACCAGGAAATCCCTGTTTGCCGAGTTCACCTGGCTCATCTGATTGCAGGCTCCTATCTTGGGAGGACTAAGAAATTAAAACCTAAACAAGTGGCACAAATCGCCCACAACTTTGTCAATAAAGACAATTTATAGCTGGGTGAAGGGAAGAAAGAGTTCTAGTCATCACTTCCCCGTTTCCCCTGGAGCTGCAGTCTTCAGGTGTCACTACTGAGCTAACAGCCCACAACTCCACCGCATTACCTGGGGGGCACTTGCCATTGTTCTTCCACTTCCTCATCATCATTTTGACTTTCTGTAAATAAATTCGGAGAAGCAGGTCACATTCAGCAAATCACACTTCACATATGACCAAATCAGTGTTTAGTCATAGCACAAGCACAGAAATGTTCTCAGGCAAGAATACAAATTCTGACAGGAAGATGCTAGGGTGCCTTGGATGAAGCCTGGTGAGTAGATGAGCCTGCTTTCCAGATGCACAGACCAAAATCTCCTTCTATGGGTAGACCATAATGCCACATTCTCTCCCTGAGTCTATGCAAAGTTAAACCAAATTTTTTCCCAGAAAATCTCCAAAAGTTAGTCAAACTATTTTCTGGGAGTGTTGCTGCAATACTGACTTATCTCACCAGGTAGCAAGGTCATTGAATGGTCAGAGGCATCTATGCATGAAACTGGACAATATGTACATTCTAACCACACTTGCTTGAAAAAGAATCTGTGAGCTTTGTGCAGTGGCAGTATCATAGCCAATGAGGTTTATCTGAGATGAGATTATCGCTAATTGAAAACTTTCCCCAATACCCTGCCCTGATGACATGCAATTGAGTTGGCAGTGACAATTTTTGACAGTCCCTAGGGAGAAGGAATAAAAAAAGACAAAACAAAAACAAAAACAAACAAAAAAGAATCTGTCTCAGACCAATGGTGAAATGTGAACCGGGCATGGTGGCTCACGCCTGTAATCCCAGCACTCTGAAAGGCCGCGGTGAGCATTTCACGAGGTCAGGAGATTGGGACCATCCTGGCTAACACAGTGAAAGCCTGTCTCTACTTAAAATACAAAGAAATTAGCTGGGCATGGTGGCACGCGCCTACAGTCTCAGCTACTCGGGAGGCTGAGGCAGCACAATCGTCTGAACCCAGGAGGCAGAGGTTGCAGTGACCTGAGATCGTGCAACTCAACTCCAGCCTGAATCACAGAGGGAGACTCCATCTCAATAAAAAGAAAAAACAAAATCCGTGATTTCAAAGGACAAGGTGGGTGAAAAATTGAAGGTCCAGAGTTCAAGACCAGCCTGGCCAATACGGTGAAACCTCATCTCTACTAAAAATAGAAAAATCAGCTAGGTGTGGTGGTAGGCACCTGTGATCCCAAATACTCAGGAGGCAGAGGCAGGGGAATCACTGGAGTCTGCAAAGTGGAGCTGCAGTAAGCCAAGATGGTGCCACTACACTCCAGCCTGAGTGACAAAAAAAGACTCCATCTCAACAACAAGAAACAATATGTGATGCTACGAAGAAAAATCAGATCGTCCATTACATTGAGGCGGTGTAGAGCCAGGGGTGAGCCTTGCTTTATGGAAACACATCAACAAGGTAAAGATGAAATGTTTTCATCCTAGTTTCAAGGTGACTATGCAGCTAAGCAAGCTGACTCAAAAGAGATCAAGACTGAAGCTCAGAGCAGTGACACCTGGGGAACAATATCTCCAAATAAAAAGGCAAGGCTCCCCGTTTCCTTAAAAAGAAATACAAACTCCATGAACATCGTTCAGGGACAGATGACATAATGACAGGAGATGAGAGATACCGACTCAAAGCTAGGAGACCTGACAGACACCTACTGTACACCTCCTGCACTCAGGTAACCATGAGTTTGTCACACCGGCCTGGGGTCTGGTAACTTGATACTCGGGCCTGGGAGACAAACGCATGGCATGAGCTGAGGAAGAGATAAAAATTCCCTGATATCTGCGTTTAGTATCCCATCATACATTTTTATTCAAACCGATTTGTGTGTATAGAGCCTGTCTTCAGAGTTGATCTTCCTCAGCCTAGACAGAGGTACCAAAAACAAGGAATGTAGAGGTCACCTGAAAGAATGATTAGAGCATCCTCCGCTACATCATGGGATGATTTACTCTCTACAATCAGTGCAGAATCGACGCTGTCTTCCTCAAATGTGATTTCACTGGTGTCTCTGGGAGGCTGGCTGGAGTCAGGAGGGCCATAGCTATTTGAACGAGTGATGACACATTCCTCCAGTGAGTCCTCAGGGACTTTCTTGACTTCAATCTTCTGCACCTCTCTGATGAGTCAGATGGGACAAAGATGACAGAAGATTAAACAAAGGGGGATTGAACAGGAGGAATAAGAGACGGGTCTCAGAATGCAAATGGGAGGTTCCCTTTGAGAGGAAACAGGCAATCCTCCTCTCTGCAACACAGCATGGCTGCCATGGGAACCGGAGAGAAAGAGAGCAGCTGGTATTCATCACACTGGGCAGAAAGGAGCTGAGAAGAACAGAGACTCAGTTATCCCTGCATAATTCAGACACGGCACTCAGCACATACAAAGAACCACAACAGCTGCCACACCCTGTGTCTAAGTTGGGTTGAACTGAACGTATTGTGGACAAGGGAATGCAGGTTTTTGGCCCATGGGCGATGCCAGAGAGGGTGAGATTCTAGAACTTTTCCATACTTTCCCAACCACTACTTGCTCCTGATTATTCAGCGTTACTGGGGGCACGTGACTCCTGTACTTTCTTAGCCTCTTCGACGTGAACATCTTCATCCTCATCTTGGTCATTTTCTGCAAGTACAGATGTGTTCGTTCAGATATTTCCCGTTTCACACTCTGCAAGCACAGTCAGCCCAATGTGCACAGGGACATGAACGTCTGCGTGTGGGTCCCTGTTCTACTGAAAGCTCTCATGGTTTCTCTTTAACAAAATGCCCTGCCATGGTTTCCTGATCCACTAGACAATGCATTTCTGATCCAGAGGGTCACCGTGAAGATGAGGCCAAATGTTGAAAAGGCCTTCTGCTCCCATATCACCGGAGGCTTGTGCAGCCTCTCTCTGGACTTTGGCAGCTGTCTCCCCCATCCTGACACAGATCTGATGCCCAGGGACAGGCTTGCCTTCCTGTCACAGTTCACATTTAAAACCTGTTTCTTTATCTTAGGAGAGGATGAACAAACTTGTCCCACAATCCTCTGCACATCAGGTGAGTTCACAGGCCCTCCAAGTGGCTTCTGCTGTGTTATTCAGGGACATTCTTTCCATGGGGAGTGCTCCAGTCTGAACTGCTTCCTAACACCAAATGCCCACACATCAAGCACTGTCTCCAACACCACACAGCGAGGGCCTTTATCTCATTTTGATAAGCGGTCATAAATGTTCGCACATTTGAATGCTTCAGACACTGCAAGGTATCTGCCTTTGCAGATGGTGAGAGAGAAATTTGCCTGACTTTGCAGTTGGAGAGACAGAAAGTCAGGAAGGAGAAATCAACTGCTCACAGGCAGTTACTAAAAACACTGCTGAAGATACAGCCTGGGAACGTTTGTTCTTAATCCAGAGCTCTTTCCACTCCAACAACCGCCCTCCTGTCACAGCTTCCTTTTTGTCCTTTACAACTGGACAGATGCTGCCCCTTGTTCCAAAGACCACCTCCCATCAGATTATGTAAGAAGCAGAGTCCTCTTGAAGCTCCCACAGCGGGTACTGTGTGCTATCACTGTATTTCCCCCAGGCCCCCAGAACAGAGCTTTCCCTACTGGACCGCAGCAGAAACCTGAACTCAATGGCAGTTCACGAGCCTCAGACATTTAGACCAACAGACTGGATGCTACTTGTCTGCAGGATCTTCTGTGGCACAGAGAGGATTCCTGTCAACATGATTTAGCCTCTTGCTGAGAAAAACAGGTGGTTCTGTGCCTGTGTCAGGAATCAATGGCTGAGATTTTACCCTGAGTCACACCCCTACCTTACTGCAGACGTGGAAAAGTGGCTACATACTTTGGCCTCTCTCAGCCATTTTTAACAAAATTTTAAGATACAAATTTATATTTCCCTACAAGTATGGGAAAAATGAAATAAATTCTGATGAAGAGAGTGTTCAGTTTCTCAGAGAAAAGACAGGACATCGTTCAGCACTTCCGTGATGGTGAACCTATAGAACTTACCTTCCGTCTTCAGCCGGCAGCCTAGGTAGCAGGCCGCTTGGCTCGTAAGAAGTTTATTTTTGCTGTCTCTGTATTTGTGTTGTTCATCATGATCTTTTTGATCACCTGTAAACAAATTCAGAAGAGCAGGTCACATTGAGCAAATCTCACTTCACACAAGACCAAATCAGTGCCCGGTCATAGCACAAGGACGTAAAATATTCTCAATGGAAGAATGTCATATTACGATGGGAATGTTCTCACGGGCCCTAGATTAACTCGCCTCAGAAGTAGATGAGCCTGCTTTTCAGATCCATGGGACAAAATCTATATCATCTTGTAGATCGCAATCACATATCCTCTGACTTAAGTCAGTGCTAACCATTAAAACTTTTTCCCCAAAATCTTCAAAACTTGCCCTAACTACTTTCCAGAAGGGTTGCTGCAATACTGATTTATCTCATCATATATCATGATCAATGAATGGTTAGAGATATTTATATAGGAGACTGGACCAACGGATGAATTTTAAGAACAGTTACTTAAAAAAGAATCTGGGGAGTTGGCCCAGTGGCTCATGCCTGGAATCCCAGCATTTTAGGAGGCCCAGGAGGGCAGATTCCTTGACCTCAGGAGTTCAAGACCAGCCTGGCCGACGGGGAGAACCCTGCCTCTACATAAAATACAAAAATTAGCCAGGTGTGGTGGTGCCCACCAGGGATCCCAGCTAATTGGTAGTCTGACGCAGCAGTACCAGGGTACTTCCTGCACTTGATGGAGCCACTTACACATACCACAGGTTCTATTAGGAGCAGGGTCCCCTTTAAGCTCCTCACAGGAGGTACTGCGTGCTATCGCCGTATTTCCCCCAGTGTCCACAGAACACAGCTTTGCCTACTGGGCCTCAACAGAAACTGGAACTGAATGGAAGTTCAGTAGCCTCAGACATTTAGACCAGCAGACTAGATGCTACTTCTCTGCAGGATCTTATACCATACAGAGAGGATTCCTGAAAACATGGATTTAGCCTCTTGCTGAGAAAAACAGGTGGTTCTGTGCCTGTGTCAGAAATCAATAGCTGGGATTGGAACCACAGTCCCACACCCACCTTACTGCAGACGTAGAAAAGTTGCTAAACACTTTGGCCTCTCTCTTCCATCTTTACCAAAATGTTAAAATACCCATTTTTATTTTCTACAAGTATGGGAAGGATGAAATTAATTTTGATGAAGAGAGTGGTTTCTCGAGACAAGACAGGACATCGTTCATCACTTTTGTGGAGGTGAATCTATAGAGCTTACTGTATGTCTTCAGCTGGTAGTTCAGGGTGTAGTTCACCTGACTCAGAAGACGTTTATTTTTGCTGACTCCGACATTCGGTTTGTTATCTTCCTGCTGGGAGCAGGATTTCTCAATGCCTTCTGGAATGTTCACCTCTGTGTTTTTTCTGGAAGGAGTCCTGAAAGATGCCACCTTGCTGATGTTTGGGGCACAACACAGAAAGCCAGGGACTGGGGAGAAGAAACACAAACACGTGATGGGTTAGAATCTGGTCACATCAAATTGGTTTAATCAGGATGGAGGGATGTCACTGACAGCCTCGCCTATTGATGTGAAGATGGCATTTCCCCAATTACTCTTCTCATCTCCACTCTTGATCTTCTTAACGTCAACTTGTCTTAGCTACTCATTTACCTTGAAGCCAGGACATACACTTTTCTACTTTTATCTTGCTTATAAGTTCTGAAGGATCTTATATGGTACAGAGAAGATTCCTGTAAACATGATTTAGTCTCTTGCAGAGAAAAGCAGGTGATTCGCTGCCTGTGTCAGGAATCAATAGCTGGGATGTTAACCCTAGTCTCACACCTGTCTTACTGCAGATGTGAAAAGTTGCTAAATACTTCGGCCTCTGTGTTACATCTTTAATAAAATGTTAAAATTCCCATTGCTACTTTCCTAGAAGTATGCGAAGGATGAAATTAACTTTGAAGAAGAGAGTGTATTGCTTGTCAGAGACAAGACAGGACGTCGTTCAGCACTTCCGTGATGGTGAACCTATACAACTTACCTTCCGTCTTCAGCCGGCAGCCCAGGTAGTAGGCCACTTGACTTATAAGAAGTTTATTTTTGCTGTATCTGCATTTCTGTTTTTCATCATGTTCTTTTCGATCTTCTATAAACAAATTCAGAAGAGCAGGTCACATTGAGCAAATCACGCTTCACACAAGACCAAATCAGTTTCCAGTCATAGCACAAGGAGGTAAAGTATTCTCAGTGTAAGAATGTGATATTCTGACAGGAATGTTCTAACAGACCCTAGATTAGATTGCCTCAGTGGTATATGAGCCCGCTTTTCAGATCCATGGGACAAAATCTCCCTCATCTGGTAGATCTTAATCATGTATCCTCTGACCTAAGTCAGTGCAAATAATAAAAAACTTTTTCCCAAAAATCTTCAAAAATTGCCCTAACTGCTTTTCAGAAGCATTGCTGCAATACCGAGTTATCTCGTCATATATCAAGGTCAATGAATGGGTAGAGAAATTTACATAGGAGACTGGACCAATGGACGAATTCTAACAACTTTTACTTAAAAAGGATCTGTGGAGTCAGCCCAATGTCTCACATTTGGAATCCCAGCACTTTAAGAGGCCCAGAAAGGCAGATCACTTGACCTCAGGAGTTCAAGAACAGCCTGGCCAACATGGTGAAATGCCAACTCAACTAAAAATACAAAAATTAGCCAGGTGCGGTGGTGCCCACCAGGGATCCCAGCTAATTGGGAGGCTGAGGCATCAGTACCAGGGTGCTCCTTGCTCTTGATGGTGCCACTTACACAAACCACAGGTTCTATTAGGAGCAGGGTCCCCTTCCAGCTCTTCACAAGAGGTACTGTGGGCTATCACAGTGTTTCCCCCAGTGTCCCCAGAGCACAGCTTTGCCTACTGGGCCTCAGCAGAAACTGGAACAAAATGGAAGTTCGGTAGCCTCAGACATTTTGACCAACAGACTGGATGCTACTTGTCTGCAGGACCTTACACAGTAGAGACGATTCCTGTATACACGAATTTAACCTCTTGCTGAGAGCAACAGGTGGTTCTGTGCCTGTGTCAGAAATCAATAGCTGGGATTGCGACCCCGGTCCCACACCCACCTTACTGCAGATGTGGAAAAGTTGCTAAACACTTTGGCTTCCATCTTCCATCTTTAACAAAATGGTAAAATACACCTTTCTATTTACTACAAGTATAGCAAGAATGAAATTAACTTTGATGAAGAGAACTGTTAGCTTTTCAAAACAAGACAAGACATCATTGATTACTTTCGTGGTGGTCAACCTATAGAACTTACTGTATGTCTTCTCCTGGTAGTTCAGGAAGTAGGCCACCAGGCTCATAAGAAGTCTATTTTTGTTGGCTCCCACATTCAGCTTGTTTTCTTCCTGTTGGGAGCAGGATTTCTCAATGCCTTCAGAAATGTCCACCTCTGAGTTTTTTCCAGAAGGAGTCCTGCCAGCTGCCACTATGTTGATGTTTGGGACAGAACCCAGAAAGCCAGGGACTGGGGAGAAGAAACCCAAACACATGATGGGTTAGAAACTGGTGACATCAAATTGGTTTAATCGGGACTGAGGATGTCACTGACAGCCTCGCCTATTGATTTGAAGATGTCGTTTCCCTGCTTTTACTCTTCTCATCTCCACTCTCGATCTCCTTAAAGTCAACTTGTCTTAGCTACTCAGTCACCTTGAAACCAGGATATAAACACTTCTACCTTTAGCTTGCTTATAAGTTCTCAAGGATCCTATATATTAGAGAGGGTTCCTGTCAACATGACTTAGCCTCTTGCTGAGAAAAACAGGTGGTTCTGTGCCTGTGTCAGGAATCAATAGCTGGGATATTAACACTAGTCCCACACCCACCTTACTGCAGACGTGGAAAAGTTGCTAAATACCTTGGCCTCTGTCTTCCATCTTTAACAAAATGTTAAATTACCCATTGCTATTTTCCTAGAAGCATGGGAAGGATTAAATTAACTTTAAAGAAGAGAATGTATCATTTCTCAGAGACAAGACAGGACATTGTTCAGCACTTCCGTGACAGTGAACCTATAGAACTTACCTTCTGTCTTCAGCCGGCAGCCCAGGTAGTAGGCCACTTGACTCATAAGAAGTTTATTTTTGCTGTCTCGGCATTTCTGTTCTTCGTCATGATCTTTTCGATCTTCTGCAAACAAATTCAAAAGAGCAGGTCACATTAAGGAAATCGCACTTCACACAAGACCAAATCAGTGTTCAGTCATAGCACAAGGTCTTAAAATATTCTCAGTGTAAGAATGTGATATTCTGATGGGAATGTTCTAAGAGACCCTAGACTAAGTCGCCCTAGAAGTAGATGAGCTGCTTTTGAGATCCATGGGACAAACTCTCACTCATCTGGTAGTTCTTAATCACATATCTTCTGACCTAAGTCAGTGCAAACATTTAAAACGTTTTCCCCAAAATCTTACAAAAATTGCCCTGAATACTTTCCAGAAACATTGCTGCAATATTGATTTATCACATCATATATCATGGTCAATCAGTGGTTAGAGAAATTTATATAGGAGACTCAACCGATGGATGAATTCTAACAACCTTTACTGAAAAAAAATCTGTGGAACCAGCTTGGTGGCTCACGCCTGGAATCCGAGAAATTTAGGAGGCACAGGAGGGCAGGTCCCTTGACCTTAGGCATTCAGGACCAGCCTGGCCAACATGGTGAAACCCCGCCTCTCCTGAAAACACAATAGTTAGCCAGGTGTGGTGGTGCCCACCGGGGATCCCAGCTGATTGAGAGGCTAAGGCACCAGTACCAGGGTACTCCCTGCTCTTGAAGGTGCCACTTACACATACCACAGTTTCTATTAGGAGCAGGGTCCCCTTTAAGCTCCTCACAGTCGGAACTGTGTGCTATCATCGTGTTTCCCCAGTGTCCCCAGAACACAGCTTTGACTACTGGAGCTCAGCAGAAACCGGAACTGAATGGAAGTTCAGTAGCCTCAGACATTTAGACCAACAGACTAGATGCTACTTGTCTGTAGGATCTTATACGGTACAGAGAGGATTCCTGCAAACATGGATTTAGCCTCTTGATGAGGAAAACAGGTGGTTCTGTGCCTGTGTCACAAATCAATAGCTGGGACTGTAACCCCAGTCCCACACCCACCTTACTGCAGATGTGAAAAAGTTGCTAAACACTTTGGACTCTGTCTTCCATCTTTACCAAAATGTTAAAATACCCATTTCTATTTTCTGCAAGTATGGGCAGAAAAAATTAGTATTGATGAAGAGAACTGTTAGTTTCTCAACACAACACAGGACATCAGTTATGACTTTCGTGGTGGTCAACCTATAGAACTTACCGTATATCTTCAGCCGGTAGTTCAGCAAGTACGCCACCTGCCTCATAAGAAGTCTATTTTTCTTGGCTCCGACATTCAGTTGGTTTTCTTCCTGTTGGGAGCAGGATTTCTCATTGCCTTCTGGAATGTTCACTTCTGTGCTTTTTCTGGAAGGAGACCTGCCAGATGCCACCATGTTGACATTTGGGGCACAACACAGAAAGCCAGGGACTGGGGAGAAGAAACCCAAACACATGATGGGTTAGAAACTGGTGATGTGAAATTGGTTTAATCGGGACTGAGGGTGTCACTGACAGTCTTGGCTACTGATTTGAAGATGTTGTTTTCCTGCTTTTACTCTTCTCACCTCCTCTCTCGATCTCCTTAAAGCAACTTGTCTTAGCTACTCAGTCACCCTGAAACCTGGAAATAAACACCTCTACCTTTATCTTGCTTATAAGTTCTGCAGAATCTTATATGCTAGACAGGATTCCTGTCAACATGATTTAGCCTCTTGATGAGAGAAACAGGTGGTTCTGTGCCTGTGTCAGGAATCAATAGCTAGGACATTAACACGAGTCCCACACCCGCCTTACTGCAGACGTGGAAAAGTTGCTAAATGCTTTGGCCTCTGTCTTCCATCTATAACAAAATGTTAAAATACCCGTTGCTATTTTCCCAGAAGTATGGGAAGGATGGAATTAATTTCGAAGAAGAGAGTGTATAATTTCTCAGAGACAAGACAGAACATCGTTCCACACTTTTGTGATGGTGACCATGTAGAACTAACCTTCCGTCTTCAGCTGGCAGCCCAGGTAGTAGGCCACTTGACTCATAAGAAGTTTATTTCTGCTGTCTCTGTATATCTGTTCTTCATCGTGATCTTTTCGATCTTCTGTAAACAAATTCAGAAAAGCAGGTCACATTAAGCAAATTGCACTTCACACAAGACCAAACCAGTGTCCGGTCATAGCACAAGGACTTAAAATATTCTCAGTGTAAGAATGTGATATTCTGATGGGAATGTTCTCACGGGCCCTAGACTAAGTCACCCTAGAAGTAGGTGAGACACTTTTCAGATCCATGGGACAAACTCTCCTTCATCTGGTAGACCTTAATCAAGTATCCTCTGACCTAAGGCAGTACAAATAATTAAAACTTTTTCCCCAAAATCTTACAAAAATTGTCTTAAATACTTTCTAGAAGTGTTGCTGCAATACTGATTTATCTCATCATATATCACTGTCAATAAATGGTTAGAGAAATTTATATAGGAGACTAGACCGACGGATGAATTCTAACAACCTTTACTGATGAAAGAATCTGCGGAGCAGGCATGGTGGCTCACGCCTGGAATACCAGCACTTTAGGAGGCCCAAGTAGGCAGATCCCTTGACCTCCGGAGTTGAAGAACAGCCTGGACAACATGGTGGAACTCCGCCTCTACTAAATATACAAAAATTAGCCATTTGCAGTGGTGCTCACCAGGGATCCCAGGTAATTGGGAGGATGAGGCACCAGTACCAGGGTACTCCCTGCTCTTGATGGTGCCACATACACATACCACAGGTTCTATTAAAAGCAGAGTCCCCTTCGAGCTCCTCACAGCGGTACTGTGTGCTATCACTGTGTTTCCTCTGTGTCTCCAGAACACAGCTTTGTCTACTGGGCCTCAGCAGAAACCAGAACCTAATGGAAGTTCAGCAGCCTCAGACATTTAAACCAACAGACTGGATGCTACTTGTCTGCAGGATCTTATATGGTACAGAGAGGATTCCTGTAAACATGATTTAGCCTTTTGCTGAGAACAACAGGTGGTTCTGTGCCTGTGTCAGAAATCAATAGCTGGGGCCGGGCACGGTGGCTCAAGCCTGTAATCCCAGCACTTTGGGAGGCCGAGGCGGGTGGATCACGAGGCCAAGAGATTGAGACCATCCTGGTCAACATGGTGAAACCCCGTCTCTACTAAAACTACAAAAAATCAGCTGGGCATGGTGGCGCGTGCCTGTAATCCCAGCTACTCAGGAGGCTGAGGCAGGAGAATTGCCTGAACCTAGGAGGCGGAGGTTGTGGTGAGCCGAGATCGTGCCATTGCACTCCAGCCTGGGTAACAAGAGTGAAACTCTGTCTCAAAAAAAAAAAAAAAAAAAAGAAAAGAAATCAATAGCTGGGATTGTAACAGAAGTCCCACACCCACCTTACTGCAGACATGGAAAAGTTGCTAAATACTTTGTCCTCTGTCTTCTATCTTTAACTAAACGTTAAAATACCCATTGCTATTTTCTACAAGTATGGGAAGCATGAAATTAACTTTGATGAAGAGAATGGTTAGTTTCTTGAGACAAGACAGGACATCACTCATCAGTTTCGTGGTGGTCAACCTATAGAACTTAGTGTATGTCTTCAGCTGGTAGTTCTGGAAGTAGGCCACCTGGCTCATAAGAAGTCTATATTTGCTGTCTCTGAAATTGGGTTTGGTCTCTTCCTGCTGGGAGTAGGAATTCTCGATGATATCAGGAAAGTTCACCTCTGTGGTTTTCCTGGAACACGTCCTGCCGGATGCCACCATGCTGACGTTGGGGGCACCACAGGTACAGCCAGAAACTGGGGTGAAGAAACCCAAACACATGATCGGCTAAAAACTGGAAATGAAATAGGTTTAATCAGGACTGGGGGATGTCAATAACTCAAATTCCTAACTTACTGTTCAGAAAATCTTGATCCTCCCTCACAGCACTTTAGGGTCCTTAACCACAAAAACAACGTTCGCAATGCTTGAGCTGAGAGCCGAAGGTGCTGCCTGTAGCTCAGGCTCTGACAAGAGTGTGGGAGATAGTGGCCAGAGTCCGAGGTAACGGCCTGCTGTTGCAATAACAGAATTAGAAGCTGGGCGTGTCATGGAATCTTAGGAGCCCTTCATTCCAATTGCCCAGGGTTTGCTAAAACACAGGCCTCCTGGTCTCACCTGAGGTCACAACCGATGGGGACCATTCCTCTATCAGTCACTCAGCATTTGTGTACCCTTGTGACAATGCCACAGTCCCATCTCAGTCCCAGTATATCTAAGCATGTGCCTTATTTTTCATCTCTTGTGTTTATAAAGTCATCGAGGCAGAAAGTTTCCCAACATGTGATATTTTCTTAATGCTAGTCATGAAGTCAGTCACCCCTCCTTCTCATATGTTAAAACAGAATTGAAGGCTTCTCCACAAGTTTAACATATCAACCTATTACACTGCCATGATGTCCTCTGACTCTTCTGCACTTTTTTCTGTATCCACTAGAAAGTGAATAATTCATTTTTTAAAAATGTTTTCTTTCCTGGCTCAATATTCTTCTTGCTGCATCCCATGGTTATGCTGATTTATATTTTCTTACTGGCAGATATCACTACACTGATATTTGTGGCAGAAGAGACTTCTCATTACACTTAAGACCAGTTTGATGTCCCTATATCCAAAGCTTCCTCTATGTGGGACGATTTGTTTTTTAATGTGACTGAACACTACATCTCATTCTTGTCACTTATAGATGTCAGTTTAGTCCCACAAGAGCTCTTTTCAAGGTGGCAAGTCATCAAAATCATTTCTATAGAGATCTCCTGAAAGCATATGTGACCATCTATCTTGGGAATTCTGGTAAACCTGATATGATTCTGTTGTTTCCATTTCGTTCTTCCATATATTGAAAATAACGGGGCCATGAGCGGTCCTTATGGAATACTGTTTGAGAGATATTTTTCTGAGTTGGTCTATGGCCGTTGAGGTGTGGTTGCATCCCACTAACCAAACACAGCAAGATCAAGGTGATGGTCAGGGGTGGTTGGTGGTCCTCCGTGTTGCTGTGCAGTAGGAGGTGAATTTGAGATGACAGGAACGAGTAGGGAAGAGCGATCCCCTGAACCACCTCCTCACTTTCTCAGCTTTCATCGCCACCCAGGTTTTGTGGGCCTGGGACTTGGGAGACTGTTCTGTAGCCCACGTCTCCTATGTTTGGCTGCTTTCTGGGCTTGCCTGAGTTGAGGGTGCAATGGGTGTGACCCTGGGCTGCCCAGCACTCATGTGGAAGTGAAGCAAGGAGGACTGGATCAATCCCATTGGAAAGCATGCCTCTCTGCAGCCCCCATCATCCTCCAGCAACACCGTAAGCATACTGCTTTGACATACATCAAAGGCTTTAGGTATATACATGTTCTGGTGTCTGGGAGGCCTGATATTCTGTGGCAGAAGGGAAATCTGTCAGGTTTCTTCATTATAAAAATGATGAAACTGCAGGTCCACCAAGTTATGTGGCTTACTTGAGGTCACACAGGGATGAGTTTTGAGCACTGCCAATAAAAGCAATCACAACAATTATTCCATAATTATTCATAGGATTCATGTCATTCTGTAAATATTTATATAATAATTCAGTAATTATTTGTTGACCAATTTGTACCAGGCATTTTGCTCAAAACTGTGCACATATTTGGACAGCATATCTTCATTATCATCTTCAAAGTAATGCTGTTCTCCTAAGAATCAGGTAAGAAACCTGAAGAAGAGGGCTAGCAAATCATGAATTTGGCCGTATTTCCATTTCTTGGTTTCTGTGATGCTGGACAAATCACCAGAATGAGTCACAGGAAGAGTATCCATTCCTGTATCATTTTCCAGGACAGAGGTGTGCCCTTCTAGAGTATTGGGACCAAAATTCAGAAATGTCTGCCACCTTGCTTTAACAGCATGGGAAATAACCTCTTTTACCTGGAATTTCTCTGGAGCTTTGGAATATACAAGAGAAGTATGAGATGTGGTCTTCCCTTGACTGTATTTATTTCTCTCTTCTATGGAATACCAATGATTTTCACTAAGCTTTTGCTTTTTTTTTTTTTTCTTTCTTTCTTTCTTTTGTTTTTTTGTGACAGTCTTGCTCTGTCACCAGGCTGAAATGCAGTGGAACAATCTCAGTTCACTGCAACCTCTGTCTCCCACATTCAAGCTATTCTCCTGCCTCAGTCTCCCAAGTAGGTGAGACTACAGGCATGTGCCACCACGCCCGGCTAATTTTTGTGTTTTTAGTAGAGACAGGGTTTCACCATGTTGGCCAAGATGTTCTTGATATCTTGACGTCATGATCCACCCGCTTTGGCCTCCCAGAGTGCTGGGACTACAGGCGCGAGCCACCGCACCCGGCCGACTTTTGCTTTTTTATAACCACAATATATGTTTGATGAAGAAGATTTTACTGATAGCTCCATTAGAAAGACTAAATATGAGCTATAGTTTAGGTTTTATGCTCTAGACGTAGTATTTTTATGATTTCTGTTTTGAGATTAAATTCTCATGTAAATAGAAAAATACTTATTGCTTATGAAAGCAAACTAGTTACTGGTTTGTTTTTGACACTGAAGCACACACTTTTGACTTTATCTTTGTCTGTCCCCGTCAGGGCCGCTCACTGTCTCCCAGTATGACCTGGCCATGCCCCTGCACTTACCCTCGTCCTGCTCAACCATCTCCATGCACTGTCCAATTCCATCAGTGATTCAGGCTCCTCTCAAGGCTCCCTGAAATAGGTACAGGCCTTGGGACATCAGATACATTCCAGGCACAAAAGCAGCCCATACTGTAAAGCGGGCAGCTGTGTTCCCACTTCCCTGAAGTTGGCAGTGATGTCCTAGGACAGGAAGAAACACTTTCCCTTGTTAGGGGGGTCTCTTCTTCATGTCTCAGGGCCTCTGATCTAGTGAACACAACTGTCCTGAATGTGAATGAACTTGCTAAATTCCTGGTTTCTTGCTAGGTGGCTAGAACACATTTATAAGACTTCCTTACTTACCCATGTTTGCTGCATTCTGAATTCTTACCAGTATGATTCCCTTTCTTGTAAGGGGTAGCTTAGGGAAGACTGGCCCCATTGCCATGCAAAGAGAGGTAAAGTGAATTTCTACTCAAAGCAACCTTGAATTTGAAACTAGGTCTTCCACTGTTTCAAAGCTGGCCTGTAGGTCCAACTGTGCACATATTTGGACATCATATCTTCATCAGAATCCTCAGGCATGTGTCCTCAAGGGCTTGTGTGTCTGCTGTACTCAGGATAAAGTTATTTCTCATTATGGTAAGTTATAATTAACTTACCAGAATATAATTCATTATCAAGATGAAGTTATTTATCATTATGGCAAGGACACATTTAGAAGACTTATTAAATTTACTTCATTTCCCCAGCTGGAAACAGCCTATAGCTACTGATATCATCAGTGTCCTCTGAATACCTTGGCTGTGTTAACTGCTTTGACTCAACATGGAGCTGAGGTGTTGGTGTACTGTATTGCGAGATGCTGAAATATGGCTGAAGTCCAGGTTCACTGGCCCAGGACATCCACTGAGGTCATCTCATGAGGCATGGGCCACTGGTTCCAATGAACCCACCATCACTACACTTCTCATGAATCACCAGTCACTAGACTGAGCATTGCGTGAAAGGTGGGATCCTATTTTACTCACCTCTGTGGTCATGATCCTTAGCTAAGGGCCCAGCACAGAGGGGCCTCTCAGCAGTGTTCATCCATGATTGAATAAAATGGATTACAAACCTCCGACTCTTTCACCTACATTTCTGTCCCCAATGTCTTGTAAGGGATGCTCTTTCTCTCAGATGCTGCAAATCCCTTCCCTAGAGAGGCACCTGCCCTACACCATCCCTGCCCCAGGATCCTCTCCTGTGGGAGACTCAAGGAAGACTAGTCTGTCCTGAAAATGTTCTCTTATGCTTCCCCATCATTAGGAGCGATGTCCTTTGACACACCCTCCCATCCTCCGGGCTCCCACAACACCTCAGTTGGGTAGAACTACCGTATCTTGTTGAAATGATCTGTTTGTGTTTTTCCACTCACTGTCTTCAGTTTCTTTAGAGAGACATTAAATACTTGAATCCCAAGTGCTTAGCACAGTATAAAGAAAATTAAATAATAAATATTTATGAGAAACTTCCCTCAACTGAAAGTGCAGAGGAATATTATTAGTATCACTGCTTCATAATCAAGCAAGGGACACTTACGCTGTCACCTGACCTAGGGCAGAGCGGTTTAATGTAAGAATGGACGTCTCCAACCCTTCTCCAAGCATGGTTATTCCCTCTAACCCACACTGACCTGAAGAGCATCCACTGCTATGGCAGTGTATCTTTTACCACAGTGAAAAATTAAACACACACACGCACATGCACACAAACATACAAATAGGTATGGATTTATCCTGAAGAACTTCAAAAAAGTTCATATTAAAAAGGAAATGATCTGCTTTAAAAATCAGTTTTTTTCCCGTTGTTTACTTCACAGTCCACAGCTTCTCTTCTTTTGTCTCAATCAGTCTTTCCAATACAAGTCTCCCCCTGCTTGTGCCTGTGGGATCTTCCCCCCACAACCTGCCTTTCTTCCAGCTTCTTCACTGCAGTAGAAGAAAAAACCTGACTATGGTGGATGCACTTCCCGAGTCACAAGAAGATGAGGAATAGAGTCAAAGCAGATATTCTTCAGCAAAACCATCCGATATCTGTGGGACTCTAGAGTCTGAACGTGTTTGCTTCACGGCATAAGTAATCCTTCAATTTCCTTTTCATGAATCAGGCCTTCTACATTTTTCTTCCCTAATGTCTGATCGTTGTTTAGAGCTTAAAAAAAAAAAAAAAAAAAAAAAAAAAAGAAGACATTATGGGCCAAGCTCCATGGATCACACCTGTAATGCCAGCTGCAGTGAGCCATGATCACACCACTGCACTCCAGCCTGGGTGATAAAGCAACAACCCCATCTCTAAAACAAAAACAAAAAACAATTATGTATTGCAGTTCAGAATTTCTTCATGAAAGCCAGAGATCCCTCAAAGAGTTTTAAAATTCTAAAAGAAAACCCAGTTAGCCGGGCGCGGTGGCTCAAGCCTGTAATCCCAGCACTTTGGGAGGCCGAGGCGGGTGGATCACGAGGTCAAGAGATCGAGACCATCCTGGTCAACATGGTGAAACCCCGTCTCTACTAAAAAAATACAAAAAATTAGCTGGGCATGGTGGCACGTGCCTGTAATCCCAGCTACTAAGGAGGCTGAGGCAGGAGAATTGCCTGAACCCGGGAGGCGGAGGTTGCGGTGAGCCGAGATCGCGCCATTGCACTCCAGCCTGGGTAACAAAAGTGAAACTCCGTCTCAAAAAAAAAAAAAAAGAAAACTTTTGCTATCGAATAAATCGAAGTTCATTTTCGAAACAGAAAGAAAAATATTTCCCCAGATGTGGCTGGTCCTAGATTTTAAGCAATTGTTAAATGGGGAGAAGATCTTCCAAAAATCTTTGGAAGAAAATTCATCACCTGTTATCATTTGTTGTGTCTCTAACGCAGTAACATCCTCAAAACACAAGCAGATAAACAGTTCCCAGATTCTGTTCTTTGCTTTCCTGTATTACAAATATATTTTTTGGACCGGACATGATGGTTTAGCTATAATCTCAGCTACTCCAGAGGCTGAGGCGGGAGGATCACGGGAGCCCAGGAGTTCCAGACTACAGTGAGCTAGGAGTACGTCACTGCGCTGCAGCCGGACAACAGAGTGAGGCCCTGCCTCTTAAAAAAAAAAAAAAATTAATTAATTAATTAAAAAATAAATATAAATGTAATATTCGGGCTAACACCTTTTTTATTTTTTTGAGACAGAGCCTTGCTCTGTTGCCCAGGCTGGGTGCAGTGGCCCCATCTTGGCTCACTGCAACCTCCTCCTCCCGGGTTCAAGCGATTCTCCTGCTTCAGCCTCTCAAGTAGCTGGAATAACAAGTGCACACCACTACACTCGGCTAATTTTTGTATTTTTAGTAGAGGCGTGGTTTCTCTGTGTTAGCCAGGCTGGTCTTGAACTCTTGACATTAAGCCATCCATCCGCCTCAGCCTCCCAAAGTGCTGGGATTACAGGCGCGAGCCACCATGCCGGGCCAAATTCCAGGCCAACACCTGTTGACACACATTGCCAGACACAGATTCCGGAATCCCTCCCGGAACACCGATGGGCCCACAAAACACTCGGAGGCCCCGGCAGCTGACGATGTTAGCAAATTGGGTTCTCAGTGTCTGGGGTACAGCCCCGAGGGTCCCCTGCACAAGTACCAGTCTCCACAGCTCCCCTCATCTCCACGCAGATTCTTCCCCACACACTTCCCCTTTCTTTGGGCCACTGACGCCTCTTGGACCTCTGAGGTGACTGCTCGCCCACAGCTTCTCTCCTTCCGGGAGCTTCATTTTTTGATCTTCACCATTGTGGCCAGCGGGAAGCCCAAGGTCCAGCACGCGAATCAGGAACCTGATGGTTTTTTGGGTTTGCAGGGATCCGCCCAGAAAATAGATGAAAGTAACAGGTATCAATGTCAAAACTGCAGTGACTCGCCAGACATACTTCGTATTTGCCACTTTGCTAAGTGGTTTGTTGAGTTCAACAACTGCAGGGGCCCGGGTTAGTCTCCTGAATGTCTTTTAGCACGACCTTGGTCAGTTTACCTTGTGGTCATGAAGCCTCTAAATGCACTATTAGGGTATGCAGTATAATTTTACAGGGCAGAAGGGTTAAAGAAGCCATGAGGGAAGTGAATCTCAAAACCCAACTGCATTGGCCAGGAATTGAACCCCGGCTGGCAGGCAAGAATTCTACCACTGAACCACCAATGCATCTCTGTCACTGTGACTTGGTGGAATAACTGAAAAGAGTATTCAGAAAGACATAAAACCTGTCAGAAGAGGCTTTTTCAAGTGTCAACTAAAAGCTAACGAAGACATCCAAAACAAATGTTTTTATAGAAAAATTTTACTAGAGAAAGTTATAAATATTAAAATAGCTTATTTTTCGCATCGAATACTTAACTCTGAGAAAGGTCTTTCTACCTGTATTACAAACCCCTGATAATGAAGCATAAAAAGTTCATTCATGTTTCTTTTTTCTAATCCTAAATCTTCAATTGTCAGCCTCAAACTGCTGCCTTAGTGGTTCTGAGGTGACCTAACCGGTAGTTTAGGTAAATAAAGTTCTAACTGGGGAGGAAATGAGAAGCAGAAGCAGAATTAGAATTAGAAGGAAGAGAAAATGAAAGGCCAGGATCCAGGTAGAGATAATGAAGAAACAAAGGTTGGTCCGCTGAGTTAGTCCTTTGCAGCTGTGTTTTAGCAAAAGAGTAATTATGATCAGTCTTGTAATCATTATAACACTATTATTTGTCTGCTTGAAGATGTAGAATGCATTGGAAGGAAATGTGATCTAAAAAGATTAATAATGCTTGCAGTCAATGTTTCGTTGTTTGGGAGAACCCAATTTCCAAAGTTAATATGCTTTGATATATTGGCTATGTAAGGAGTAGACTGGTTTAAGCAAATATTGATGGTCAAAATATTAACATATTAGTCTTGATGGAGATCTAGGTTTCTTTCCTAGATCTTCTCTCGAGGGATTAAACCGACGAGAAAAATCTAGAATTTGCCCCACATGCTGGGTCTGGGAGTCATTAAGACTTTTTCAAAGACAGGAGCTGTGACGTGAAATCATGCGTCTTCTCTAGCCAAGAAGCCAAGTCAAGTTCAGGCAGTGTCACAAACTTGAGCCAACAAGGAAATCACCCTTGTGGCCGGGCGCGGTGGCTTACGCCTATAATCCCAGCACTTTGGGAGGCTGAGGCGTGTGGATCACGAGGTCAAGAGATCGAGACCATCCTGGTCAACACGGTGAAACCCCGTCTCTACTAAAAATACAAAAAAATTAGCTGGGCATGGTGGCGCGTGCCTGTAATCCCAGCTACTCAGGAGGCTGAGGCAGGAGAATTGCTTGAACCCAGGAGGCGGAGGTTGCGGTGAGCCGAGATGGCGCCATTGCACTCCAGCCTGGGTAACAAGAGCGAAACTCCGTCTCAAAAAAAAAAAAAAAAAAAGGAAATCACCCTTCACATTGACCTCACAGAGCTGTGGCTCTATCTGTTCTCTGCCCAACACCCAAGACACACACCAGCCCTGGCCAACAAACATTCATATATTGTCTATGTCAACCAGAGCCACATTTATTCCCAAATCTCTTTCTAAAACACAAATCTGTCCTTTCTATTCTCAACTCTGAAATTTACAAAGGCCTCATATGCATCTCAGAGTCACAGATACTAAAACTCAACACACCGGGAAGTTCCCTGTCAGCATCATGTACCAACCTCTGCCTCAACACTCAGTGATCAGCCCCAAGCCAGCATCTCCCAGAGAGCAGTGGATGGTTCTAGGTGTTTCAACAGACACTAAAACCTGCCTCTACCCCTGCCTAGACACACGCTCACTGCTATGCATCCTGCTGCTCACATCAGATCTTGATATCATCTTTAGATAAACACTCCCAATCTCCCAACACAAACATTTATTTCCAAAGAATTATAGTATTTAAATGTACCGGACTCTCTACAGATTCACTGCCACTTTATCACTGCACTGGTCCATCCATCACCTCCATTAACATAAGCAGATCAAAAACTGGCCTCTCTACAGCCAGTCTTGTCTATTCCAACCCATTTGCCACACTGCGTCTTGAGTGACCTTTCCACAGTGTCAATCTGTGGACATACCTGTAGCCTAAAATCACATCCACCAACATAGTAGCCAAGCAACAGCAAGCCCCTTTCCTTTGGTCATTAGAGTCCTAGACACCAAGGGAATGTTGGGGAAAGAATTGCCGTGGATCGACTCTCAGAGGCAGTGGGTTCTGGACTTGTGCTGGCTTTGAGACACGGACACTGGAAAAGCTCAGGTACCTGGCAATGCTTGGAGATTAGGAAGTAAGGATGAAAACAAGTCACTGCACTATATAATATGACGGTAATCACTTACACAAAAATTTTAAAGATAAGAAATGTTTGAAGATTTATTATTTTATTATGCCTTTATAGTTGGAGAGTAAAGAAGAAAATACCAAAGCTCTTTGTCTAAACAAAATGGTGCAGAAAGATTAACATATATCATAACCTATGATAACCAGTCAGCATAAACAGTATTCAGAAAGGAATGGTTATATTCCCTAAGAGTTACATTCTGAAGTCATGCTTTTTGCCTTAGGGTCCATTATTATAGCCACCTTTTTGTTAATGTTTTCAATCAAGCTCCTTTTCTCACCTTTATTTCCAA